ACTGCTTGTTCTGTTCTCACATTGTTGTAATTTTTTCTTCTAGGGTTTGAAATTCCTGATACAGATGCAGAAAAATTAATGTGTCCACAAGAGATTGTAGATTACATTGCAGATAAGAAGGATGTATATGAATAAAATATCAGGTAAATAATTTGACTTATAGAATGATGTTTATTCATAGAATTAATGTGTCTGTGATTCTTTAATGAAACAAGATTCAGAAAGAGACAGAAATACTGTACCGATTTTCAAGAGTTATAAAATGCTGTCTGGCTACCAAGGTCTGCCACTCAGAGCGGGGCTGCCCTGGTTCATCACCCTGATCCTCGAGAGAGCTCAGGAGAAAGTAGGCCGTCTCCTGAGGAGATGCCCTGGATTCCCAGCCCTCCTCTTAGGGACTGTGAGAAACAGAATGCTCAGGGGGATAACTGGTAAACCCAGGCTCTGTCAGCCTCCTGCTCTCCCGGAAGCTGACGTGACCTGCTGCCTAAGAGGCAGGCTAGGCCTCTTGGGTAACAGGATGGACTTTGGAGTCATAGCCAGCAGGCTTTTATTCCCAGCTCTGCCCTGTTTGGTGAGTCTGACGATCTTGAGCAGGTGTTAGCCCCCTGTACGCCTCAGATAGCGGTGATGATAATGACCTACCTGAGGCTTTGCTTAAGGTAAAACAGAATAGTATTGTGTGTGGACGTCACCTAATACAATGCAGAAACCTCTCAATAAATGTTTAAGTGCCGTCGAGTGAGTTCCACTTATCGTGACCCTGTCTAGGGTTTGCGAGGAGTGACTGACTGGTGGGTTTGAATCACCAACTTTGCGGTTCAAACTGGCCTTGTGGTCCAGTGATTTATAGTGCTGTGCAACACCAGTATACCTCTCAATAAATAGTAGCTGGTATTATTTCGTTTCTAAAGTAATCAAATAAGATTTTAAAACATTTTATTCGTGTTTGTACCTTGAGGTATCCTAGACTTAGTACCTCAAACACTAGCTGACAGTCAGTGAACGCACTGGAAGGATCACTGAACTGCTTTTGTCTCTGCCAGCCCAGCGTTCTTCCCGAGAGAAGACTCCGGTGATGGGGCGCAGGGCTAGAAGTGAGGAGACAAATCGTCACCATCGTGGACTCTGACAGAGTAATTCTGATGGGCTTGTATTTAAATTGTCTAAGTGTTTTGCCCTTTGAAAATAAATCTATAAAACGAACATTTAGTTATGTTTGTAAAGTGCCTTTTTATATTGGCTTTGCTTAATACCTGTATTTTAAAAATTTTTTCTTATTTACCATTGGTATTTATGTGTATCAAAAATAGCTACATTGAGATTTTAACTAATGCCACAAACCAAAATGTGTATAAATGTTTGAATGGGAACATTTGTTCTGTAGACTCACTGAAATCACAATTAAAAAGAAAATTACAAATCGAGTGGGTCCAGCAATCCCACTCCTAGGAGTATAAATGAAGGGAAGTCAAAAAGTATTGCTACAAACATAGAAACATTAAAAACATAGTGTGAAGCTTTTTGTTTCTAAGTCTCTGAAGGGCCTCTAAAAAGTTAATAGAAAAAGTCCATTATCTTTTCATTTCATTTTTCCATGAAGGCTTTCTAACCCTTCCCCCCAAAGAATTCTGTGCTCTTTGATTTACACTATGTCAAATTGGCAGTTTTGGTAATGGAGAAAAGATTGAAGTTGTCAAGGACTTCATTCTTCTTGGATCAACTATCAACACTCAACGGAAGCAGCAATCAAGAAATCAAACGACATTGCATTAGGCAAATCTGCTGCACAAGACGTTTTCAAAGTGTTAAAGAGCAAAGATGTCAGCTTGAGGACTAAGGTATGCCTAACCCAAGCCATGGTATTTTCAGTAAACTCATAGGCATGCGAAAGCTGGACAGTGAATAAGGAAGACCGTAGAAGAATTGACGCCTTTGAGTTATGGTGTTGGAGGAGAATATTGAAAGTGACATGGGCTGCCAAAAGAACCAGTAGATCTGCTTTGGAAGAAAGAAGTGCAGCCAGAGTGCTCCTTAGAGGTCAATATGGTCAAACTTCGTCTCTCATACATTGGACATATTGTCAGGAGGGACCAGTTGCTGGAGAAGGATATCATGTTTGGTAAGGTGGAGGGTCAGAGGAAAAGAGGAAGACCCCCAATGAGATGGATTGGCCAAGTGGCAGCATTGATGGACTCAAGCGTGGCAACAGTAGTGAGGCTGGCCCAGGATCAGGCAGTGTTTCGTTCTGCTGTGCATAAGGTCACTGTGAGTTGAATATGTTCCTTGAATTTTGGAAATGTAAAATCTGAAGGGGCAAGATCAAGTCTATTGGGAGGATGGTAAATGGTTTATTAATGAAATTTTTGTAGGGCAGTCCTTGCTACCTTCAAAGAATGAACAGATACATGTTATGATAGAAAAGTAATTCCTAGGCACAACGTTCCTGGCCTTTTTCTCACCCAATGCCATTTTCAATTTTCTTAAAACTTCAGTAAACCCTGTAATTGTCCTGTGTCCTTTCAGAAACTTGATCAAGATGACCCCTTAAGAGTCCCAAAAATCAGTCTCTATAACCTCCTGAACAGAACTCTTTGCCTTAAATTTTACGGGCTTAGCAGCTCTCTTGGGAAGCCACTTTTTGATGGGACCTTGCTCTCTGGATTGCATTGGTAAATCCAAAATTTATCCCCAATTATCATTTGTTCCATGACATTGTCTTTAATAGCTTTGATCTTTGCTTAAGAGACTTACAGAAAGAACTATCTGATCTTCGTGCGATCCTTTTGGCACCCATCCATCTGAAAGCTTGCTGATGTCAAGCTGTTCGCTTAAAATTTAAGTGTTGAACCATGTGAGATGCCAGCTTGAGTAGCTACTCTGGTAATTCTGCAGTCTTCTTCCACCAGTTTCTGGGCTTTACCCTGTTTCTTCACTCATCAAATTTGGTGGTCTTCACCTCCTTTTTTTTTGTTATAGCTCAACTTATATATTTCAAATTGACAAAAAGTGAGAATCATTTATAGTATCTTAAGAAAACTTACTCTTGAATGAGCGCTTCCTTTCCAGTACTTTGAGGGCCACAAGTTACATCTAAAACTTTGACAGCTGTGAAAAATGGAGGAGTGTTTCCATTGCATTGGGAGGGGCGGAGGGAATGGCTGATTTTTATTTTTGGTGCACTGCTGTAACCGTCCTTCAGGTGGTTGAAGGAGTTTCATGTTTTCTTTAGACATCATTAGGTGTGGAAGCTCCTGTCAGTTTTGCTACCACTGATATGGCTCATGGATCCTGCACTCCATCAGAACTATGAACTCCATGTTACCTTTCATTACACATGTTAGAAAGTGGGTGCTTCTGGGCCTTCAGATCCACATTCTGTTTTGAGACTGTATGTCTGCTTTTCATAAACTGTCCGAGCTCTGGATTGTTGTCACCTTGTATCGCTGTGCTTCCTGTCGTCCCTCTCGGCTCATCTTTGAGGTCTTCTCAACCTCCCTTAAAATGCTTACGCCACCCAAAAACTTGTTCTAATTGAGGCACCATGCATGCCTGTAAACTTGTTGCAAAGCTTCAATGGTTTGGAAAGATGTCTACTTGAGTTCTGTTAGAAACATGATATTACTCTTGACTCAAAATTGTTTTTTTCCATGACATAAAATGTGTCCTTCTTTTGGAAGGCATCCTAACAAGACTGCAGTTAAGTGCCAACGAGTCAATTCTGACTCATAGTGACCCCTGTACAGGGTTTCCGAGGAGCGGCTGGTGAGTTTCAACCTCCAATCATGTGGTTCAAACTGGCCTTGCAGTCCAGTGCTTTATCCTGCAGTGCCATACCAGAACTCCCTAACAAAACGAAAACAGTTCTATTACTGAAGAATTCTATTGTCTGCAGCTATCCACTGATTGCAGAGAAATATGTTTAAGCATGTTTAGTTTGAAATAAATCCGTGCATGTATGAACTGGAACCCTAGTAGTCAAAAGACTTGCCCTTATATAAAAAAAATTATATGGTTTTTAGCAGCCGTGTGTTTTAAGTGTCTCTTCCCTCTGGGGTGGTGGGTGGAGTTACGTAGCTCCATTAATCTGCTGAAACCACCTAAAAAGTTGTTTTTTCCTCTACTTTTACTGGAACCCCAACTTCACAGGAGGGAAGGCAATGAGAAGCCTTAGCAAGTAAGCAATAGTGCCCTAGAGGCTGAGGGACTGAGCTCAGTGACCCTTAGCCAGCGGAGAATCTCGAGGAAGAGGCAGTGTTTGTGGAAGGCCTCAGGTCTGGGTTTGAGCCCATACTCACCTGCTTCCCTTCCTGCAGGTTCCCGATGTTGCCAGTTCCCCTTGTGGCTCTGGAATTCTAGGCAAATGCAGCTCCGTCCCTTTTCAGGATATGGAAGTATGGAAAACGAGCAAGCTGGAACATCAAAGGCATCATTTTCTTTACAGTTACATTTATTTGAGTGCCTATTAGGCACTGGCTACCCAACAGTGAATAGTGTCCACGTGGTCCTTTAGATTGCACTGTACTGTGATTTACACCAGGGGTGTAATACACCAGGTAATGGTCCCCAAGTTCATCTGGCTAGCTTTAAACTAATGACAGCTTGACACATTGATACTTTTTTTTGGGGGGGGGGGGCAGGAAGAAAAACACTAGAGGTTGTTTTCTGCGTAAGAACCTGAAGCCTGACAGGATTGCTGTTCCAGTGACTGCTGTGCTGATATCTCAGTGACACCTGCAGAGGAGCGGCCCGCTGGCGTCCTTCTGTAGCTGCCCCGAGTCCTCCAGGAGTCTAAATGAGGAGAAAACTACTGAATCACAGCCGGATAACTCACCAGTCGTGCCAATTCAGATCTGGGTGTCCAAACAACATCCAAGGCTTCTCTGCTACTAGCATTTGCTGCAGTGTTCTCTGGGAAACTTCAGTGTCACTAAATGTAAGCAGTGAACTGGCCAAACTGATCATTCCAACGCGTTTCTGACGTAGAGAACAGACTAAATGGAAATGTACACATAGGGGGGGGTTTT